ATATGAAGGTTTGGAAAAAGACTCATTCACAACTTGCGTTATGCAGATGACACAACCTTGCTTGCTGAAAGTGAAGAGGACTTGAAGCACTTACTGGTGAAGATCAAAGACCACAGCCTTCAGTGTGGATTACACTTCAACATAAAAACCCTCACAACTGGACCGATAAGTAACATCATGATAAGTGGAGAAAAGATTGAAGTTGTCAAGGATTTCATTTTACTTGGACCCACAATCAACACCCGTGGAAGCAACAGTCAAGTAATCGAACACGCATGGCATTTGGCAAATCTGCTGAAAAAGACCTCTTTAAAATGTTGAAAAGCAAAATGTCATCCTGAAGACTAAGGTGCGCCTGACCCCAGCCATGGTGTTTTCAGTCGTCACATATGCATGCAAAACCTGAATGATGAATAAGGAAGACTGAAGAATTGACACCTTTGAATTGTGTTGGCGAAGAATATTGAATATACCATGGACTGCCAAACGAATGAACAAATCTATTGTGGAAGAAGTACAGCCAGAGTGCTCCTTAGAAGCAAGGACAGCAAGACTACGTCTCACATACTTTGGACATGTTATCAGGAGGCATCAGTCCCTGGAGAAGGATATTAGGCTTGGTAAAGTAGAGGGTCAGTGAATAAGAGGAAGACTCTCAACAAGATGGATTGACACAATGGCTTCAACCATGGACTCAAGCATAACAATGATTGTGAGGATGGTGCAGGGCCGGGCAGTGTTTCATTCTTTTGTCCATAGGGTCACTATGAGTTGGAACTGACTCGACGGCACCTAACAACAATAGTAATACTTGTGGCTCTCATTATCTACAATACATTATTTGCTGAATCTTAGAATATCAATGTCATTCCAGGGAATTATTGAACCAAAAGGAGGGTCAGAAGTAAGGGGGCTGGGCACCCCTGACCTTGAGGCTGGTATTCTAAGGGGGTTAGAGGGAACCCAGACTTTTAGCCAGCAGATCAGAAGTTAGGAGTTGTTCAGACTTCCAAACTTGCAGCTGGTGTCTGCCTATTTGGCAGTCTGAAGGACAGCTCCTTTT